GGTTGATGATGGGTATAGAGGTTGCAGGTGTCTCCACTCTTTTCAGGTGACCCCGCCCAGGTGACCTCTGCCTGGAGCCTGCAGGCGCTGGACAGAGGAGCCGTCACACTCTAGGGAGTGTGAGCAAGCCTATCACGTCTGTGTTTGGGGGTGCGGGTGTGGGTGACGGAGCTGGACTCTCGGGCAGTCCTTCGTGTCCCAGAGGACCGGGAGAGACTGGACAGTACCGAGGAGGTTAGTAATTGCGTGGAGGTGCACGAAGTCCCCAGGCATCAGGTAGGCACTACGTAAGTAGAGTTACAGAGCCGCCTCGTTCAGAACAGAAGGACGAAGAGATGTGAAGCCCTGCGTCGTACTGGGCTGGCTGGCGATCCACAGCATTTCCCTCGTCCTCCCTGAGCGCATGAGTTCCCAGGGTTGCAGTGACTCCCACAACCAGGCGGCTTGAAACAGCAGACATGGGTTCTCATGTCCTGGAGCCTGGACGGAGGGTGGCGGGGCCAGGCTCCCGAGGCTCCCCGGTGAGGGGCCCTCCCACCTCCTCTAGCTCTGGTGCTGTAGGCAGTCCGTTCTGGAAGTTCCCAGGGAGCCTGGTCCCCGCCTCTCTCCGGGCTCAGGCTCTGGCCAGTGTCGCCTGACATCGGCCCGTCTCTGCCTCCATCTTCACACGGCCTTCTCTCGGCGTCTCTGTCTTAACTGTTACATCTGCAAAGACCCTGTTTCCAAACAAGGTCCCATTCTGAGGTTTGGGGCAGTCAGGAATTCCGGGGGACACTATTCACCCCACTACACTGAGTTGGGCCTCTTTCTAAGAGGTGGGCGTCTTTATGAGCTATCGGCCAATACGTGTCTATTTAGTATCCATTGTCGTCGCTAAACGAGAACCGAGAACCGGGAACCAGATAGACGTAGTTCCTGGCCTCGGGGGCAAGTGCAGGTGGCGTGGAAGGGGGACGAATCGGGAATGTTGGAAACTCCTCCTTTCATTCCGTTTTGAGTTTGGCCCTGCAGGGCTTGGGGTTTAATTTAAGAATGGAGTTTTCTAAGGCGAGCCTGCCATTCCCATCGCCCACGGAATCGGAATTAAGTATTCGCTGTGCGTGAAGTTAGGGAGGAGGATGGATGGAGTGAGGCCCATCAGCCCGTGATGCACACTTTGCCCGGGAAGAGCTCCCCGGCCCGGGGCTGCCTGGGATGGTTTCCCTGCGCAGCACTCAGCACGGGCGACCCAGAGAGCAGGCGAGGGCGAGTCCAAACCAGCGCCCCCGTCACCAGGGGGCGGGCTCAGCCATTGTGTAGAGCACACGTTCCTCTATGGGAAACTGTGAGACAAGGAGTCCTGTTTGTTCAGTCTGATCTGTTTAGTTTGGAGATATAACTTCCCATTTTAAGCGTTAGAGGTGCTCTTAGCGACGTCGAAAACTGACGGCTGCTATGTTAGACATTTTATGTCCACGTTCCGCAGATCCGGCTGTTTTGTGGTCACACACTGGTCAGGATGGACAAGAATAAGGTTCAGGTCCCTAATGCTCCACGTGAGCACCAGGTACTCGCGTTCCTCCCAGGAGGGAACAGTCCCCATGTCCATGCACAGAGCTGTTGGACTTGGTGACGGGGCTTTTCCATCCCCTTAGAATAGTGGTTCTCAACCTTCTGGCCCTTTAAATACAGTTCCTCATGTTGTGACCCAACCATAAAAGTATTTTCGTGGCTACTTCATAACTGTAATGTTGTTACTGCTATGAATCGTCATGTAAATATCTGATATGCTGGATGGTCTTAGGCGACCCCTGTGAAAGGGTCGTTCGACTGCCAAAGGGGTCGTGACCCACAGGTTGAGAACCGCTGCCTTAGAAGAACTGTCCCTCGGTCACTCTCGAGTCGCCAGCAGGATGGTAGCCCCGGGAGATGCTGGCCAGCCTTTTAGAGGAACCGGCGCTAAGAGGATCCCACAGAAAACAGCTTCACCGGCTTTCCCTCAACTGCGCACACCAAGCAGGGTCTGCAGCATGAAACTGGACAAAGAACTAGTCTTTCTGGCTGTACGTATCTCCTCTGAGTCTCACTGCTTTAGGCCCAAATTTCTGAAAAATAAAGAGCGTTCTCTGTCCGCCCTCATCTCTTCCATTTGAGTTTATTTGGGATGGCCACAAACCCAGCACTTCAAGTCTGTCTTTTACTTTTGTTTCTCTTTAAGTGAAAAGTAGGCTCATATATCTTAATTCACATATTAGGCATTTTCACTACATTTTATTTCAAAACTCAGCACAGATGGTACATTCAGAGGAGATGCAAAATTGTGTTTATTTAAAATCCTGCTGCTTTTTCTTTGGTTCAAAAATTGATTATTCCCAGTAATCTCTAGAAGTTTGACCAAATAAATCCACATCCAGAGGGACCATTTCTCTGGGTTCCCCTGACTCTATGGAAGGTAGTTTCTGCTTCAGTGCTCATTTTTACATTGTCTTGTGGTTCTTTGGTCATTGTTATCAAAAGATATCTATAGCCACTTCACCATGAGCTTAGCACATTGCTGAGATGATCACGAGATTTGTATAATATTCACACACCAGTTACACTTCCTAGTACATTGTTTTCATTTTATTCTTTAGTTGACAAACAGCGCAGTCCTCTGGGACTTCCGTAATGCATTTCAACAACATCTCCATCCCTGTGTAGGGGCCGATAAATGCTGGCCTCTGCGCTTGGAATGAGTTGAGGGTCTTTCAGATTAAGGTCAACCATGTCTCCTCAAGGGCGTCAACTTTACAGCGTTTTCTGAATGATTTTCTGAACTGACTAGATGTTTTTCATGGTGTGTGTTTGTGTGTGTGTGTGTGTGTGCGTGTGTGTGCTTTAATTTGATGTTGTCTGAATCTTTCCAGCAAACTGTCCTAGCCTCAGTTGTAAACCTAATTTGCATTGAAGTTGTCAATGGGACTCATTTATAGCGCGATCTTGATTCAGTAGAAAACGCCTATAGTTAAGAGCCTAACTCGGAAAATCGGGTTATTTCCACGTCCGCGGGCACATTCTTCTTCGCAGCCCGAGAGCAGTGGGTGGCTGCCCGGCCGGGCGGGAGCCCAGGGAGTCTGGGCAGCGGCTCCCACATTCCGTTCCCGGGACCTGGCAACGCCCCACCCGCTCAGTGAGGGAAGGGGCGGAATGCTCTTCCCAGGCCCCCAGGCTCCCGTGGAAAAGCAGAGCCTGAATAAAACGCACGTTCCCAGCTGCTCTGGCCGGAGCAGAGCGGCCAGCACGGCACAGGACGCTGAGGGCCTCGGTGCGAGAGCTCCAGGTGACGCCCGCCCAGGGAAGCACCCAGTGCACCTGGCCGCCCAGCCAGGGCGCCATCTAAACCCCGTGAACCCGGCCTCCCAGCCATGGCCTGGGCTCCTGGCCATCCTTTCCTCTGCGTGCCCTCTAGACAGCTGCTTTATTTAGTGGGGTTAGCTTTTTTAAAAAAAATATGTTTTTATTGATTCAGAAAAGAAGGGAGAGGGAGAGATAGAAACATCAATGATGAGAGGGAATCATTGATCGGCTGCCTCCTGCACGCCCCCTACTGTGGATCGAGCCCTCAACCCGGGCATGTGCCCCTGACCAGAAGCGAACCCAGGACCCTTCAGTCTACGGGCCGACGCCCTATCCACTGAGCCAAACCGGCTAGAATCGTGCGCTGTGTTTGTCAGTGAAGGAACCAACTAGTACTTGGCAATCTGGCTCCTCTGGGTAATTTCTTGGGGAAAGGAGGGAGACTGGGGGTGAGGAAGACAGTGGGTGACAAACCCAGGGACGCGGCGCGGCATAGATACCCCTTTCCCAAGACCCAGCCCAGCCCTCGAGGCCTTGCTGGTCTCCCGGAACCAGGGGCATCTGGTGCGGGGTCACCGGCCTGTTGTCATCGCCGAGGGGTCTGAGCAGAAAAGGGCGCAGCTGGTTTTCCAGGCGCACGTGAGGGCCGCCTCCGGACCAGAGGCCGTGTGCGGGGTCCTCCCAGGCAGACGCCACTCGGAGCCTCGTTCTCAGCGTAGTGGCCGCTCAGCAAGTGACTCTCACACCGTGTTCCCAGAAAGGCAGGTGGCACTGAAAGAGCAGCCCGCGTCCTGGGGGTGGTGATCGCTGTTGAAATTCGGCTACAGCACTAGAAGGTGTCGATCATCTGTGCTGAGAATTAGCAAAGGCTCAGGGCTGCGAGGACAGTAAGCGAATGCCTCCTGTGGTTTGTAAACCTGCCCTGAGAGCCGGCCCTCACCCTGCCTCCCGTCCCTGTGTCCCCAGGAACACCCTGGCTGAGGACCACAGTGGCCACCCTGGGGAGACTGGGCATCACCATGGCCTTCGAGATCGTCTACCTGGTCAACTCGGAGCTGTACCCGACGACGCTACGGTAACCCCAGCACGTGTCACGGTTTCTCCTGAGTCGCTCTGCGGCCAAGTGCTTGGAAGCGACTTAAAAGCCGTGAAATAGTTCCCTTAGTTCGATGCTGTATGAACGTGGGCCTCCCTCAGCCATCAGCGTGGCCTGCTCCGAGCTGGAGCTGCTTTCTGCATTGCCTTCATCCATGTTTTGTGATAGAAGTATTTCTTCCCCCATATATTCACACACAGCCATGGTTGCATGGAAAGGCACCAGGCTGGAATCAGAAAAACCTGGTTAGCACACATGCTTCGATGCGGGTTGACTCTGCCTTCACCAGCCTCACCTGTTTAAAGGCTGCCACCCCCCTTCTGACCCCATTCCACATCCGTGTCGGGAGCAGCCAGCGGCTGCGGGAGAAGCCGTGTGTGCAGGCGCTCGTGCGGATGGCTCCTTCCCCGGGGATGTGCCCGGCACAGCTCGCTGTCCAGTGGGTGGTGGGTGGTGGGCAGGCTGCTGCCCCCCAGCCCCTAAGGCTCCCCCACCCCTGCCCCTGCATGCCGTGCTCACCAGCTGGGGAGTGGTCCGAATGGAAAGGGTTTGCCTGGAGTGTAGAGAGCAGTCGTTTGCAAAGTTCAGAGCCATAGAAAAGCAAAATCCTGTTACAGTTTCTTAGCTACCTACATGTCTGACTATTTTGCTCCTCTTGAGCGTTGTTCACGTGAAACTGCTTTACCCGCAGGAACTTCGGCGTGTCGCTCTGCTCCGGGCTGTGCGACTTCGGGGGCATCATCGCGCCCTTCCTGCTCTTCCGCCTGGCCGCCCTCTGGCTGGAGCTGCCGCTCATCATCTTCGGTGAGACGCCGCCCGTCGGCGCTGGCGGGCTGTCTGCAATGACGGGCGCTTGGCATTTTTTAGGACAACTGACCGTTGCGGTTTGGGGAGCCCATCTGCAACCCTTTCTTTGTTTAGGTTCTGAGTTAAAATCAAATACAGTAAAACTCTTTTATGGTCTTGGGAATAACTAAAGACCAAATTGGACCCACGGTCTGTTTCAAAGAATCCCCAAACCAATTACATTATTAAATGTTCTGTACCTGTCACTATCGGACTTCATTTGCTCGGATGCTGAGCATGCGATGCTGAAAGAGCGGAGGACCCAGGTCCCTCACACATCTAACATGAACTCTCTGATGGCCCTCAAGATCACGGCCTCCTTCCTGCCCCCAATCTCCGTAGAACCCTGAGGGGACAGAATCACAGACTGGGGGGGACCTGGGGTAATTCACCCCAGGGCTTCTCCAGTGCTGTTCCGCCTGTTCTCTGGGGCCTCTCCCCCTCTACTCCCTGTCTCAGCAAGAGAGGACCCTCGTCCAGCTTTCCTCCACCTCCCCTTCCTTTTGCCCAACAGTTTCAATTACCCTGAAAAGGCTGGGTCCCTGCTGACACATGCTGAGTAAAGGACACCCCCCGCAGCGTCAGGGACTGTGGAGTCAGCCTCTAACCACTTGGTGCCAGTGAAATCAGGAGAGGAACGTTTCCAGTACTTCTTGGGATCTGGTCCTTGAGCTCAGCGTCGAGGCTGTAGCCAGCACGGAAGAGCAAAGAGGGGGCCGTGGTTCAACGGAGACGAGTGGTCTAGGAGCCCCGCATCTGGGCAGTGGCCTGGCCTGCAGGGGGCGCTGGGGAGCCAGGCACTGGCGCTGGAGCACAGGCCCTGCCTTCCCAGGGAGAGCCAGCTGTCAAACACAGGCAGGATTAATAATGACAGTGTCTGCAATATACAAAAGTCAGGCAACAAATGCACCTCATCGGCTCCTAACTCATTTGCGTTTGCTGTATTCTCTGCGTTCCTGAGGCTTTTTGTGTTTTTGTCTCTTTGTGGTAGAAACCCTATAGAGCCGTGTGCTGCTGCACATCTCGTCCGAGTGCCTCATTCAGCGAGGTGGCATCGGTAGTGTGCACTGTCCGTGGGGGAGCATTTACACCACGGAAATTGGCAGCCGCTATAAATCAGGGCTTTCTTTTCTGGGGAGCCGGTTGGCAGACATTCGCCAGCTCCCCGCGAGGATAAGATGTGCAGAAAACAGGAGAGGGTAGTGTTTCAGAAACTTCAACTCTAAAGATCCGAACAAGGGAGGCTGGTGCATGGGGATAATGTGAGGTTGTCAGGAGGGTCCTGAACGAGGAAAGATTTGAATATGTTTCCTGCTGCTGCCACTGGGCGCAAGGTGCTGGGGGAGGATTAAACACTACAGTGGGGAGCCTGGGAAAGACGCCAGGAGACGGCCTGGGGCGAGGGGACAGGCCTGCAGTGGCCCCTGGCAGGAGGAGGAAAGCGGGGACAGGAAGTAGTGACGCTCTGGTGTCGGGAACAGGGCCTGAGGGACTCCTCTCTGTTGGCTTCTGTTTTCCCAGGGAGGGGCAGATGAGGCTTCTCTGAGGCCTTGGCACTTAGTAGGTGCTCAATAAGTAACTGTTCAGTGGGTGAGTGAACGAACGCCCCCCCAAGAGCACGGGCGCGGGGACGGCATGGGCGGGGGGTAAGGAGGTCGTGGCAGAGGAGAGCGGCAGAGCTGGTGAGGTCACCGGGGCTGCAGCCGGGGCCAGTGGAGGCGGTGAGCATGCTGCTTCCCGGTGGCCACACCGAGGGGCGCGGGGACAGCGTGCGACCTGGTGGTGACGCCTTTCCCTGCCCGCAGGTGTCCTGGCCTCCGTGTGCGGCGGCCTCGTGATGCTTCTGCCTGAGACCAAGGGCATCGCCTTGCCGGAGACGGTGGACGACGTCGAGAAGCTGGGCAGGTATCGTATGGCATTCAGCGCCGCCTCAGTCACAGCGGCGTTCAGGCCACCAGGGGAAGGAGGTACTGAGACAACTGAGTACCCGGGGGAAAATAACATAATCCCTGCCTCACAGCCTAAGCAAAAGTGAAAAGTAGTCGAAGGTAAATGTAAACAACAACAAACAACCCAGCTCTGGGAGAATATTTATTCTTTTTAAAAGGTGGCTATGAAGAGGGAGATATTTCCAAGGAAGGTGTTAAAATTCAGAAGCAATCTCAAGGAGAGGGAGTGATGATCTGACAAAGTAGAAATAACATAACTGTGCAACAGTAGACAAATGGCTATAAAAATAATATCTTCACAGAATGGGTTACTAGACAGAGATTAAAAGGATTAAGGGAGAGCTACATGCAATGGCTTGGGGAGATTTTCAAGACTGACTACGAAATGAAAAGTCACCAAACAATGTGTTAGAGTGTTTACTAAAGATAAAACCAATAGAAATTTCTGTCTGTAGCGTGGTGGGAAGATAGATGATAGAGATGATAGATAGATAGATAGTAGATAGATATATAGATAGATAGATAGATCATTGATAGGTAGATAGGTGATATATAGATGATTGATAGGTAGATAATAGATAGATAATAGATAGATGATTGATGATAAAGACAGGTGGACAGATAGAAGTAGGGGTACTAGAAATATCAGGGGAAACACTAGAAATATCGGTATATGGTTATCTAACCATTATGCTGAACATCTAAAACTAATACAAAATAACATTGAATGTAAAGTGTGGTTGACAAACAAAAATAAATAAAAATTTTAAAAAATAAGGGAATGAGAGAGAACAATTTAGTTTTGGAGAAGTACGTCTAAATGGTGTACAGGGAGAGTTGTTATCCACCCCATCTATCAATGTGAAATATATTTGTGTTATACTAACAAAAATTCACATTACCAGCGGTTCTCCACCTGTGGGTCGTGACCCCTTTGGCGGTCGAACGACCCTTTCACAGGGGTTGCCTAAATACATCCTGCATATCAGATATTTACATGACGATTCATAACAGTAGCAAAATTACAGTTATGAAGTAGCAACGAAAATAACTTTATGGTTGGGGGTCACCACAACATGAGGAACTATATTAAAAGGGTCGCGGCATTAGGATGAGAACCACTGCATTACACAAATTTAACTTTCTCCATTTGAAATCTTTCAGAATAAAAAGGAAGGGAGGTTATGACTATGACAGGGTGTAGGAAAATACCTAAAATAATATTATATACCCCGTGGAGATAGAGACGGGCTGGGAAGAGGGGTGCAGGAGGGAAGACATTCCTCTTATACTCTATAAACTTCAGTATTGTTGGATAAAAAAAATAAATTACAACGAGTTGTCTTGTATTACTTGTGTAATTTTTAAAAGTAACTTAACAGCTATTTTCAAAAATAAAAATCACTCTTCTTCTAAAGAATGACCTGGAAATTAGGGGTTTGGGTCTCTAAATTTTAAACAAATGTATCAAAAATATTTAACAAAACACTGAAATGTTAGTCACCTCATGGGAGTTTTTTTTCACTTGTACGTTGGGAAGAGAGTAGGTGCCCATTTTTAGGTGCCGATGCAAACGATGGTTTCACGTGTGTCATTTTATTTAAAACCCAACGATTCGGGCAAAACCACCCTCACTTTCCTGTGGACTAGGCAGCGATGCTCAGAGAGGGTTCTGCGGGCCGGGACTGGGTGGTGCTCTGCGCGGCTCAGGGGCGCCCGCTGTTCTGTGCAGGTTTATTATTTCATGCTGTCTCCTCCTCCAGTATGAATTTTAAATAGCGGGGATCCCCATGGTAGAACTGGAAATGTATCCCTTTACACTCTCTTTTAATGAGGTCGTCCCCCTCCCACTGCTACGTGTCTCAAGAGAACTTCACTAGACCCGGGAAGCGTATGCGGTGATTTCATTGTCCTGTTTCTTCTTCTTTTTCTAAAAAATATATTTTTATTGATTTCAGAGAGGAAGGGAGAGGGAAAGAGAGAGATGATGAGAGAGAATCATTGGTCACCTGCCTCCTGCTCACCTCCTACTGGAGATCAAGCCCGCACCCCGGGCATGTGCCCCGACCAGGAATCTAACTGTGACCTCCTGGTTCATAGGCCGACACTTAACCACTGAGCCCCCCAGCCGGGCTTTCGTCCGGTTTCTGGGTGCTGTTTTGAAAACTCAGGTTGCTTGACCTTCCCAGAGCCTAAGAAAGGCTTCCCGCACCGCGGCCCAGCCCTGTCCGCGGGGCTGACTGCCAACGGGACTGGCCGATCAGAGGGCTGTCGCGCTTGTCCCCTGAAGCAGCCCAAACAGAGGCTTACGCTCGTCTGGGAGTGATGGGGCACCAGCTTATTCCTCACCCACCGCTCTGCTTGGTGTCACCTGGGATGATGCTACA